GGGACCCTCGACTCTTTTACCTTGGCTTTGGAGGAGTGGAAGGCAGGAGGCATGAGGTTGTGGGGAAAATGAGTGACCAGCGCTCGTGGAGACTTGAGCTGATGTACCACCTCCGCCAGTCTTTTCTCTTCCAGCCAGGGAACCCGGTCCCAGTTTACAACGGTGTGCAGGGGGGTCAAGTCTCCCCCGTTCAGCACCAGCGGGAGGATCTCTTGCATCCATATGGTACCTAAATAAGAAAGCAAACGGCATTCGAGGCGTTCTGAAAACACTAAATAATCTGTGCAGTTTTGGATTTCCTTTGCTCTGACTTGCATCATCAGATATCTGCAGTGACGCATTCCTCCCACGTCTCCCGTTCTGCCTCATGCTGAACAAACAGCACCGTATCTCCCATCAAAGTGGAATCTGTTTTTACCGTTTCAAAGATCTGGTCTCATGGTTATCACCAACTGTATCTAGATACTGACACACGGAAACGAGAATTCTCTCCAGTTTTTTTAACATTCCTTTTAACAAACCTCTTTATAAAAAAAAAATCAAATAAATGATGGTTTCATTAAGTTGGCTCTGGATCTGAGGGAAGGGAAATAAACACCCTTTACCTGAACTGGGATAAGTACTAGTAAAGCTTACCATTCCTTAGTTATAGCTTCTGTTGATAGTCACACTTCATAAGTTGGATGAATAAAATTCTAATGGAAGCTCTGACTTTTTTTCCCCTGAAAACGACTTGTTAAGAGAACATTCCCAACGAGATGAGAGAACAGAAGACATATTCTGCCCTGGGAGAAGCTCCTGGTTGATGTTAGGGTTAAAAGACTGATGGAAAAGAACACGGGTATCAAACTGACCAGACCTCTGGCCCTGAGGCACAGATCCGATAAGAGCCATTAGACGTCTTTTTACCACAAACTACACGTTTTATTGCCATACGGTCTTTTTTCAAAGTTCACAATTCCTGGTGCAGGACTCCACATGTTTAAAGAGGGCCGGGCACTTGCAAAAGAGACAAAAGCATTCTGTAAAATGATGGAAAGAAAGCTTTCTTTATATGCAGAAACGCAGGAAACGGGACGTTTGGTGCGCGCGCACAGCTGGCCAACAGCTGGTCCTCCGGTCAGCTGAGGGGGGGACCGGATGGCAGAAGCACTGACCTGACTTTGGGTAAGTAACAGCCACCACGTCATCGTCTTCAAACTGGAGTTTCTGCGCAAACTTGAGGCTCTCGGGGGAGTGGGTCTCCGTGGGCAGCAGCAGTCCCCGGTAGTGTATGTACACTTCCTCGGAAGATGACATTTTTGCCGCAAGCGAGAGCCGCGCGCGCAAAACCGCTAACGCACAGAAACTGGGGTGGCTCCAATGCCGCGTTCACAGACCCGGAGAAAATCGTTACGGACGGCAACGCCCACTACGATGACCACAGGCCCACTACGATGACCACACGTCCACTACTGAAACATGTTTCATTGGAACTGATAATGCAAACGTCGGAAATGCACTTTTTCGGTTCCATTTGTTAGACGATGCTATTTTATTTTTAAATATCAAAATTGTCAGTTTCAATTGAAACGGTCGTCTTTTGCGTTGGGGTTGAAACATGGAGTTTGAACAGGGAGCTCCCTAACTCTGTCCATGTAGGACTTCTGATGGATTGAAATTGCCCTCTTGCTTGACTCAAACTTACTGTTCACAAACTGCTGTTAGCTCAACAATATTAAGGCAGTACAGGACTTCCTGAGTCAGAACACTGATGTCTGCATCAGAGGAAGAAAGGCTGAAAATACCTGTTTAGGGGGAAATACGTGGGAGAATAAAAAGTGGAGATATGATGAAGAAATGATTACATCTATAGATTGAACTAGTTTTTGAATGAATTATAAAATGCCTGAATAAATAGAGCAACCATAAATCAAGCTGAAGTGAAGGCAGTTTAAACAGAAGCAAAACCTGTATCTACTTCGCACTTTTGACTGTATTAGTTTTGTATTTCAAATCATATTATTGTAATTATTTAACTATTGATATATTTAATTTATCTTATAGATTTTGTAATAATTTGGCATAAACACAAATCTTTATTTTGACAGATTTAGACTTTTCTTCCATCACAGCTCAGAGTGGTCAGATCTCTCTTGGCAGTAGAAGAGGAGCCCACACATTATTTGATGGGTGGTGAGGATGTTATGATGAGCACGTGTCATCCAGGCTTTGGTCTGACTCAAGCAAACTGTCCTTCCCTTCCCATTTCACAGCTTTCTGACATCTTCCTCTATTTCAGGAATGTTTTTCCAGTCTTCTTGAATGATACTCCAAAGCTCTTCTTTAGATACTGACTGGCATAAAGTAGTCTTTTCTCCCAGTTCACTCCCATAAAGGAGCAATAACCCTCCACAACCGTTTTTTCTTTTAAATTGATCAACTGAAGGCTCAGATCCATCCGTCGTGAAGGATTTTGCAACAAAAGAAATGGGACATATCCTAAGTTTTTACAAACACGGGAAATAGGCAGGAGACATCCTCATAATTGCAAGAAATAAATAAGAAGAAAAAAGCAGAAAAAAGTCTAAAAACGGGCTCTTAGAAACAGAATATAAAGAAACAAGCAGTTGCCCGGCTTTTGTTTATGCGCATGCAAGCAGCTCTGTCTTTTCCTATTCTGTCAAGAAGAGGCTCTTTGAGTTAGACGCCCTTTCAAAAGGCACAAAAATGGATTTTGAGACTCCAGGCAAAAGTACAGTGTATAGATTTTGGAGATAACATTTTTGAGGAACAAAAAATCACTTGTGGCACTGGGCCAACGGAAGTCATTAAAATATCTTTTCGGTTAAGATTGTTAACTTGAGTATGATAGGAAATGAAAGTGGTCTTAGACAGTGGCCTTGGCTGATGCCTCTGTCGTACAGGCAGCGCAGGCCCGAGAATGCAAGAAAATAAATGACTTCTGAATCTGATATAAAAGCGTATGTTACCCCTACATGACATTTTTCAAGTCCTTTCTGGTTGCTTTGACGTTACTCAGAAGATTCTTTTCAATGGACACAAAATAGGAGGGGGAAATAAAGCCATCAGACTCTGAAGAGTCAGACCGGGTTATCTGGAGAGAGACAGCGCACACACACAAACAAATACACTGTACCTGACTTGGGATAGGTCACAGCAAACACATCAGTGTCCTCCACCTGGAAATTTTGGGCATACTCCAGGCTCTGGGCGCTGTGGGCCACAGGGGGCAGGAGAAGGCCGTGGTAGAGAATGTACTCAGGGGACGACATGACCAAAGCTCCCAGGAATTGATAGCCAACAAGCTGCTCCTACCTCTCCCCGTCACAGGTAGTCTTATTCCTCTTAGTCCCCTTTCCCTGAGCTCATGTTAACGCTCTACGCGAGCCATCAGGGCTGAGCCACATTTTCCTCCTGATTGTACATAATCTGACTGACAGCTCCGCACCGCAAATCATTAGCTGCTCTCTAATTCAGGGGATGGAACCCAGGCCTGTTAACATGCTTTAGACAGCAAAATCCACCTTTGTTACTGCACCCTGTCCACTTTTGTTGATTCCAACACTACTGGGGTCTTAGCAACACCTTTAAACTGGGAACGCTCTTTCTCTGGTATCTATGCAAACAGGGTGTGTACCACAACTTTATCCCAGTCTCAGCCTCCAAACAAAAAAAGCTGACAGTGATTGATCATGAGTGCAGTGGAACATTTGGGGAACCCAACACAAGCCTGCCTGAGGCGTATTTAGTCTTTTTAAAGTATGCTCCGACCACCGTGGGGCAGGGATTTGCCCTGCGCCGATCCCTGCGTGCCACAGGGACAAAAACCCAGTGCAGTTGTGCGACTGCAGCCTGCTCATGGAGGGATGGTGCCTCTCTGCCAACACATGCTGCGTACAGAGAAGGTAGTGTGTGCATGCGCCTATGTGCTCACGTGTATGAGGGCACAGGAAATCCATTGTGAAATTTCCATAATGACACCTTTGTTTGCCTACGGAGGCCTCAATTGAGAGGGGGAAAAAATTCCAAGCGGGCTGAGGCTACAACAATGAAAAATGAGCTGAAACAGAGGCAAAAGTAAAAACAAATGACTAAATCGTACAAATGACTAAATCGTATCGAAGTATGTTGTGTCAGGAGAAAGCAGAATAGATCAGATATGAGACACCAGGGAAATACTAAGATAGGTCAAAATATCCAGAAAAATCTATGCATCTCCCTCCTTAACGCTTTCTTTTTTCGTTCTAGTTTTGTTGATAGACGATCAACTCAATATCTGACAGTCTAATGATACTGTTGGTTGGGTTATGTCCTAATATGAGCCAATAGTCGCTATCTGATATTCAGATTGCAATAATTCATTCTAATTCTTACTGCTCTTTTACCTAAAAAATACTATAACTCATTGCCCTCCATAACGTCCTGTATTAACTCAGTCTGGAATTAAACAAGTTTAACTCATCCCGCATGACTCCACTGTGACTTCTATTTTTTTCTGCCACAGAATTGACTTCAGCAACATTCCACCCGGAATTTATTTCTCTTAATCCGATATTGGAGGCATTATGCTATGCGAAACCAAAAAAAGAAGATCGATGGACTAAGTTAAGCTGAAAGAAGAAAACATTTCCACTTACTTCCAGGTACTGAGGAAAAAACAAACAGTTAATAATAAAAGCCAAGACAGATTTACTATGTAAAGCTTTCATGGAACAAGGGTTATTTAAGACTTATTATCCCAAAGCATATCATTAGCAAACTAAGATATTCTAGAGCTTATATGGTATTTTTATTTAGTCTTACTGTCACCAAACGACACAACTGGGGTTTAAGCCTTTTCCTGTTTGTCATCCCTCCAGTTTAAAACAAAGACTTTGTCCTCTGCACTTTTTAAAAAAACTCTGGATGTGTTATCTTTCAATCACCTCCTTCCATCAACACTTCTAACTGTCCAGGTTACCTCTTTTGTTGCTGCTCAAAGGTGGTTTAAAACTCTCTTTTCATCATTACTCCCTCGTGTCTCCTGCTTTCCTCCAGTTGCCTGCTCTCCCTCCCAGCAGACCTGTTGAACAGCGTTTTCTGAGTTTCAATAGTAACAGTAGATCTGTGGGAAGAGCTGTGAATGAGGTCAAACTCAACTAGAGCATGTTATGTTTTACGTGGAAGATTCTTCTCTTTTTCATGTCAAACTACGTATTTCTTTCTTACTTTATTTCACCTATTCAGACGCCAAAAACTTGAATGACAGTAAAACTCAGATTTCAAACTAAAATGTTGTCCCAGAGTTTTGAAAAGAACGTAAGTTGGTATTCATGACCAAATCATTTGCGGCTAAATGAAGTTATCTGATCATTAAGGACGCTGGCACAGAGATAGGACATTACAAAGAAATTTAATTATGTAGAAACCACATACTTAAAAGGTCAGATTTTAGTTAGTCCTACAAGTCCATTACAGTGGTGAGGAAAACCATAACTACCTGTACTTTTTCAGCATATAAATACATTGATAAATTTGTGGGCACACAATGAAGTCCAGGAACTGTTTTAATATTTTTTCTTCACTACTTGATCTTAATATACGATTGCCTCATTAGAAAAAACACATAGAAAACAAAAATGGTCGTTTGGAATTGCTCTGATGCAAAATTCACATTTTTACTAAACCAGCTCAGCTCTGGTACCGACTCCAGTCGCCTGATGAGGTCGCTGCTGGTCCCTCGCCCCCTGGACTGACACAGGTCAAAATACTGGGACCAGAACACACTGGAAAAAAGCGCTAAGCACTCCAGCTGGTGGTTTGTGTCAGTCAGTCCATTTAAAGCCGCCCAGAGGGCACCTGTCCGCTGAGAACACAGGCCTTCACTGGTGCTTAGTTACTGTGAACCAGCGTGACGAACAGGAAGAGTGAGCAGAGGGAGATGGCTCCGGTCAGCACCGCTTTCACCAGCAGCACCGTCCAGCTGCCCAGCAGGAAGATGTGCACAAACAACCTGAGGAAGCAGCACAGAGCGGGTTAGTGAGGAATGAAGGCCTCAGAACAGCCACCGGATGCAGAGTTTGGTCATGTTCAGTCCAAAATCTGACCATTGGCAAACAATTATTAAATAACAGCACAGAGGCTTTTATTCGATCAGTGAATTGGCCTTTACAAAATGATTACACTTCAAAATAAAACATCATGTCATTACATTTTTCCACCAATAATAATTGTTTAATTAAAAAGCCCTTAATGCTCATGACCAGAGTGCTAGCTGTGCTTTTGAAAATCCAATTATTAAGTCAGAATTAAATAGATAGGAGATCTCATAAGATCTGCTTTAACCCTTTAGCTCGGTCCGTAGTGCTGGCGTTACATTTGTACAGCCAGGGTATTATCACAGCTCTGATGGAGGACGAAGGAAAAACAGAAAAAGAGGAGAGGAAAAGGAGAGCCAGCAAAAGATTGGTGTTTTTTCATTAGAAGTGTGTGTTTCATTAGACGCCTTTCTAATGTTGGACTGTCAAGAACTGTAAAATGAGCACTAAGGTTCAAAGAGGAGGAGGGGGGGGGGGTTGTGGGGGATGCTCCCTCTGAGCTGAGGAATGAGAATAGCACATGTTTTTGTTTTGTTTTTTGCAATAAGCAAAATGTGTCAAGATAACTATTTTTAGCCTCAGATGGGCTATAAAAGGGCCCCCTCTTGTCTAAAAGAGGTCACTTCTGACCTCCATGCTACTGCTTTGTGACCACAAATAGATGACTCAATTCATCCAAAGACTTGTGTACCAGTAAAACCCCTCATTACACTCATTTCTCCGTAGGCCTGAACAGCCAACACGGATACGTGCTGCTACAGTGCAGTTGTGGTGCCCTCATGTGGTACATAATGTTGAGCACCGTCAGCGGGGCTGTGCGTCAAACTCACTTTTACATGTAGTTTTTTTAATGTTTGGATGAGTAAAATCTCATCAAAGGGACCATCATCATGTCCGTCCATTGGAGCCTAAGCAGGCAGCAGCCACTCAGACTGCAGATACAACAAACTGTTAAAGCTCTGATGGACGGCACAAAAATTCCAAAACCACCCTATCCCCCGGTGATTAGCTTAAGTTTCCAATTTCAGAGAACTCCAGAGAACTTCAGAGGACTCCATGTTTATTTTTTTAACAGAACTCTTCTTTGCGTTTGTGTGTGTTCAGGAAGTGCCAGCGAGTGAGACTTACTCCATCAAGAAGGCCTTGTAGACACAGAGAGCCAGCAGCACAGTAACAGGCAGTCTGAAGCTCTTAGGGAGGTCATAGCGTGTGAACATCCACACCACAGCCGCCATGGCAATATAATGCACCTGAACAGAACACATCAAGTAAACACATTTTAGCAAAAAATGTCAACAACAAACAAGAGGGTCGGGCTTTAGAGACAACTTTGTTCTCTTTTCATTCTGTGAATCTTAGCCCAATTAAGAGTGAAATTCAGAGTGAAGATGTGAGAAGGAAGGTGGAGTAAATACAAGTCACTGACCAAAAATAGAAACGCGTAAAGGACATAGGAAAACTCACCAAACTAATGTTAGAGTCAAAGCTCATCTGGATGTACTTCCAGTCAAACTCAATCCCTCTGGCACCAACCCACAGAGGAAGACACCTACGGAGGCATAAAGTGACACAGTCGTAAAGATTCTGTTCAGTTTTAAATGTGTTAAAAAGGTTTTTCACTAAATCCGCTCTCTGTAGGAAGACCGTGAGGACTGACCTTGACATTACAAGTTCTGCTGTGGCCCAGCCCATGGCAGCCACCATGATCTTGTACTCCCCTTTACCAGCATTACGGGACATCACAAGATGGAGACCCAACAGGTCGGCTAGGTCCACTGTGGCCTTCATAAACTCCTGCAAAGGGAACTCAAACATTATATCGTTCTCTTATAATGGTAAGACAGAAAGAAGGTTATACGTCACAGGGATGTTGCTGCACTGACAAATTTCCGATACTGACCCCAACAAAGTCGTAAACACCTGCTCCTCCTTCCCACGTGGGGAAAAACGTAGCAAGAAACAGCATCTGAAAGAAATAGAAAGGGAAATTATGTTCAAATGTGCCCCTGCTGCTGGCAGTCATTTCTACTGAATCCTACATCCCAGTCAGGCACGAATGAAGGAAGATCGGACAAAGACATTCACCTTGCACAGCTGGACAAACAGGTAGGTTGCTCCTGCCTGGACACATCTCCAGAAGGCATTGTACTCCGAGCTACACACATAAAGACAGTTAACTGGGGGGTATAGCTCAGTGGGAGAGCATTTGACTGCAGATCAAGAGGTCCCCAGTTTAACTCTCCGTGCCCACATACTTTGTAAGTCGCTTTGGATACAAGCGTTTGCTAAATGCAACATAACTATAAACATAACTGCTAAGATGCAACATAGACTTTAGTGAACACACAGGCTAACTGAAGAGAACACTGCCTAGATTACAAAGGATTATTAAAACCCCCTTCCAAAACCTCAGACATTGCTAAGAAGATTATGATCAAAGATTTTACAGTCTCTGAACATATGCTCCCACTACAAAATAACTATTTTTTTAATCTTTTCTATAAAAGTACAAATAGACAGCTGACACTTGAATGGTCACATACAATACCATCTTAAAGAAAACACCTTTTAGTTCACACTTGTGTTGGAAATACAAAATTTAGACAGACACTCACAGGCCACTGCACTTGTAGGTTATAAAGTAGGGAAAATAGGCCAGGGCGAAGCAGTTTCCAAAGTGGAATAGTGTCATGGCGTCTGGTCAAAAGCCTCAACTGCCTTTAGAGATAAAATAAAAATAAAATCAGTTTACAAACAAGTGCACAAAATGGCAATTTGTTTTTCATCAACCACAGAGATAATCCTCCACCTAAAGTAAGTAACATTTTTTACTCAATACTTTGATATAAAGGTAAGCATGAACTACAAATACGTCTGAATTAGTTTCTTCATTTACTTGAATTGATATTCATACACAGTTATTCCCGGTCACTACTCAGCAGATTGTTAACAGCAACAGCACCTTTCAAATTACCCGAAATGTTACACTCATGCGCTTAATAACAATTTTTAAAAAGGAGATATAAAGGCATGGACGATTTTCTGTCGATGAATCTAATCTTAACGCATTTAAAGTACAACTGCATATAGATATTTACAATTAGCAAATAAAAAGGAGTTAAACGTTTAACTCTCAACTGGCTAAGCTATAAGGTACACACCGACAAGCTAACACACTGAACAGATAGAGCTTCTCTCACGAGCGACCACAAAGGACAAAACCAGCTCCACAAACTTAAAAGAGCTAGTCTTTCCCAACAACTATGCTTTATCTTTTTTTATTTAATACAAACACTCACTGTGTTTCAAGCGCTGAGGGAAGCTAGGCCCTCCGTTGAAGTGTGCCTTTGAATGACAAGCGGAAGTGTGCTTCGGCTCACAGAGAAATGCTTCCGACATCGTTTCCTTCTTCTTTAACCTTCCTCCCGTCTGGGCTACATGCTACCGTTCCTGCTGTGTGTTTTTCCTACTAAAATATTCCAACTCCCTTTAGTATTTTCTTGTGAAATATCCACATCAGTCATAATTTTAATAAAAAACTGAAAAAATGAATAGATAAGATAAATCTCTTTCTCGCACGATGTAATGTAGCCGAGCGTTATATAAAAATAATAAACGGGACAGGGGACCAGATAGCAAAAATCATGGAGAAATTAACATGAAAGCCGAGTTTATTATTCAAGAAATAGTCCATTTAGTTTTATATTCATGACTGTGCATCACCTGAACACTCGGACAAGCAAGTACACATATTGTCAGAATTTGAATTTCTAAGACAAAAAAAATCTAACAGTGATGTTGAATACTTTTACTTTAATTCTGAAATAGCCTACCCCCTTACAATACCAAAAAAGCAACCACCTAAACGATCAAACAGATCAACAAATAATTAAATAAAATAAATGGATTATTATTGCAACATTTTGCTAAAGGAAAGTATGAAGTTAATAAAAAAACAAATGCCAAAAACGTGCAACTCTTCCGTCTCTGTCCCTAATAGACTATTCAAAATTACTTGTACTTCCAGTGCTATTTGAATAATCAAAATTATTTCCAGACATTAGCATAACAACATGATTTCAAGATGAGCATTTGATGGCAAAGATAGTTTTCAGCCCTTTGTAAAGATAATATAGAGGGACAACAAAGACAAATCAAAACATTATGCAAAATAGACCTACCACATATACCCTTCTCACATTTCTGATCTAAAATAAATTATACACACAAAACATATTCGAGTATGGAGATGTGACTCCACACATTATCCTGCCCTGTTACACAGTGTTGCTAAGCAGTGCTTTTATGGTAACAGATGAAGTTTCTTTTCTCTGAGCAGTCCCTAGTGATCCAGTTCTCTTTGTGGTTTTTGGACATGGTCCCACAGCGTTCCCACCGGCTGGGGCAGGCCGGCAGCATCTCTTTATTGGCCAGCTCTGCTCCATCTGACCACCACCACTCGTCTCCCAGGAAGCGCAGGCCCATCCACACCTAAACAACACAAAGCAAGTTGTGAGTGTCCCCTCCTGTGGTGGAGTGGATGCTCTTCTTCACCTTCTGCTCGGCGTGTTCATGAAGCAGCTCCAGGCAACACTTGATCCAAAATGTTAAATACCTTGACAACATTCAGTTAAAGAAAAATAAGCCTTGATGACTGTGTTTTTTTTTCTTAAAATAATTCTCAAATACATTTGAATTTTTGGCATTCCAAAACAAACATTAAAAGAAAGGGGGTCAGGCCTCAAACCTCTTCCGACGTGGCTCTGGAAATCTTATCTCTCACATAGGCGGAAGCTGGGCTGGTCAGACTCAGCAGGTCATACCGTTGGGATGGGGTGGACATTTTCCTGCAGTGGCTCAGGGCATCCTCCCATGTCTTGTTCTCTGTCACCAACACCAGGTTGTCACCGTAACAGATAAACTGTAATGGTCTGGAGCATTCTTGCCTGAACCAGCTCTTCCTTTCCAACACAAAAGTGCCACAGTCGCCGCTTAAAAGATCAAGATTACCCCAGTTGCCATTCCCTGAGACATCTTCACCTGTTAGCCCTTTCCCAGTTCTGAAACAAACACATAAATGGTGCAAGGCTATTGTTATGTTTGAGCTTAAATTTGTTGTTCATGTCTTCATGAAGAGGGTCTCGAAAGAGGACTTACTTTACATTTATCCACTTCCATGTATCTTTCTCAGGCTCTTTGTGCAGGCCTATCCAGAAATCCCCGCTTCCTCCAAACTCCTGAACCAGCCAGTCTGAGTCCACTATGTCCCAGGTAACCAAGTCAACGTATTTCTCTTGGCAGTACGTCCTCGCTTCGTCCCAAGGCCGCGACACATCAGGAATCCCAACTCGTATTTCAACATTTGCTGAGCAAAATGCAGTCACGAGCAGGACTGGTAGAATGAACTCCGTGCCAGTGTTTTTCCCCATGTCTAGTTGTCCGTTGTGTCGAGTCAAAACAAGTGAGAGCAGAAGAGCTGCTGCTTAGTTTTTATACCATCAGCCGGTCAGTGGCCGCCGGACACACCTCACACAAGACTCACCAGCTGCTGGAATGACGATGGACGTAGTCTCACTGATGGACACACTCCCTTAACAAATTATCACTTTTTTGTTACGATATATCCACTTTATTTTTTAAGTGTCCATATCTGAGCTGCGTGTGTCTGTTCATTTCAAAATTATTAATTCTTTAGAGCTAAAAAAGCACTATTGATCCAATCAAATTGTTTTAAATTTCTGTTTCAATGTATGACCAAAATAGACAAATAAGAAGATTTTTTTTTGCAAGTCAGCCCCTACTTACACATGGAAATATATTTAGCTTTTCTGTAGCATATTTTCACAATAACCTCCTTTTTCTGATTCAAAACTCCCCAGAGTTTTTTCGTCATCTGTGCAATTAGCTTTGATATCTAATATACATTCAGATGTTAGATTTAGTGGTTATAGTGGGCATAGTAGTGGGCATACAGCCATCATTTGAGTAAATCATTTTAAAAACAAATGATGAGGATGATCAACAAACACAGCAAAACACAATCTGGAGAGTCTGGGAGGTTCTCTGCATTTCATTCAAATTCTGTTTTTTACTATTTAAAATAGTCTTTGTGTGTAATGCGAAAAGTCAGGTCTCAGGTAAATTCTATTAATTTGAATCTTGGACAGGACGTGACAAAGAGGAGGAAGCATGCTCCTGGAAATACGGCTGCTTGACTAGTGCAGCCTCAATTTCAACAAAATAGAAATAGAAATTCAAAACAGTGACCTAAACATGCAAAGCCTGAGACGTCTAACATCTTTCATGAAAATGCTGCAATCTTACGATAGACCTACGCTGGAATATTGTCTACTGAATCTAACGATGTCATAATAAAGTATTTTTTTTAAAGAACAGAATTCAATTGAGCACTAAAAAATCCCCAAATAAACTAAACCTAATGGTTACTCATGTTAAGCTTTTGTATTACTTATCACAACATCATATTGTATTGGAATAACAGGAATGACCTTCTGTGTCTCAAAGATGGGACTAAGCTCCGCTTGGCTTTAAAGGTTCTTGTAGATGGCCCTGTACAGAGTTCAGAGAGAAACAGGCCATGGTATGGAGACAGTTAGAGCCATTTCCAGTAAAATCATTTTTATGACACATTGTTTACAGCGACATGTTCACCATCTAAACTTAGGAAGAAGCCAAATTCTGCATTTCTTTCTCTGTGTTGGTCTGGACCACCTTGTTTTGACGATGCAGTATCAGGGTCATCTGCACTTTATGTGTACATCAGAGGTAAAACAGGGCTCAAAGCCGTCTCATAGCACATTTGGATCACATCTTGCTATTCTTCTCAGGGAAACTTGAAAGTCACAAACTGTCTTTTTTGTGCCACTGCGGAAAGACTTACTCACACTACAGACGACTCGCTTTCAGTCCAATTCAGAAAGCAGCTGGACCTTTTGTTTCTTGAAAGTATTTTACTTCTCCTCTGAGACAACTCCTCACTTCGGACTGGCAAAAATTCTTATGTGTCACCAGTGAGATTCCCATTTACTTCTCAGGTGTGTTGTTGTATCTTTACTGATGCAGGTAAATGAGCACCTGATTTACTTTTAAGATGAAGCTGTGATTAGGATGCAAATTGAGAGGGCGATTATGAGCATATTAGAATAATTGCTTTGACTATTGCACTGTTGTCCACAGAGTTTACATGAACTGGTTTCCAGTGTCTGCTGTCAGTGCTGTTTTTCCACTTCATCGATACAGAGGCTGCCCCCCCCCAAAAAAAAAGGGGAAAAAAGAAAAAAACTAAACTTCACTTTGGTTCAAATTGTGAAATACATGTAGAGAGACCAAAGCAGAGCCAAAGGAAACAATCTGGGAGTGAAGATGCTTTTATGAGTCCCCACTGCCAGAGATATACTGTACATGTTTCCATTGTAATTTCTTGCTCTATTTTTTTCCTGAAAATGGAGGATGAGTAGTGTTATCATGGAAGTGACACATTTAGTAGTGTCAGAGGGGGCTGAGCTGCTGTTTCTGCTGAGGATGAGTCTTTCTGCTCAGGAGTCCACACAGATAACATGTGGCATCTTCTGAGTGAGACCAATAATTAAGAAGGCCGGATATCAATGTTTGTTTGTTTTAATATCTTTGGCTGTCATAGATTCTGCTTTTTTCCTCTGAAAAATGAACAAAAACAACATTTCTTACAGTACTTGATAAATCCACGGCCTCCAGTCGGAGCTATGATATAGTACCATAAAAGGACAGCAGGTGGCGTCGATGTTTCTTTCCCACCACATTAACCCATCCACAGCAGCTGGGTTAAAGTTGAGAATAAATATATACATATATATATAAATATGTATATGAAAATAGTTATAGAAATTGAATCAATTTATACTCAGCTTCTCTACCGAAAATTCACCTAATTATCTTCTTAAACCATTGTTAGCTGTGAAGGCAGCACACATTTAATAAGGTGTCATTTAAAGACCTGAAACACTTTCCCCTTTATTCCTTTCATGAATTCCAACTTTTTTTCAAGGTTATTTTATTAATCAGGGGAGAGCATGACCACTGCATAAAGTCTGTTAGGGAGTATAAAGCTTCTAAATGAAATCTGAAGTATAGGCTTGATGATCTAAATGTCAAGAAGAGTCCTGTTCTGATCATCATGCCTTTGACATATGGGAAAGTAAAAACTAAATACAAGACAAAAAACTCTAAAAATCAAATTCCAGATTTTAAATTCTGGAGCTGCTCATCACCCTGAGACAGGTTCTTAACCCAATTTTCACTCTCTTGTTGTGTCATTTGTTCAATAAAGACCAATAACATACCCTTTGTTAATTTTTTTGGGGTGGCAGCAGACAAGCATTAATACAATTCTATTACCATATATTAATGTATAGAGTGTAACAGGTTGATAGTCATGTCTTACCTCACTGTACACTTTTGGTTGATTAAGAAAATCAAAAAGGACAACCAAAAAGGGATTTTGTTCACGTTTTATTTATTCATTTTTCAATATTCTTAAGCAGAGTTGCAGTAGACCTGCCTCTCAGCTTCCTCTTTCACTGGTGATTAAGCTTTGAAGACACACCGACAGTGAGATGGATACAGTAGTTACCATAGTAATCAGCCATAACGACACATCTAAAGTGGCAGTGGGAGGTGGAGTGGGGACACACGGGCACAAATACTTTCACTTACTGGTCGCCTTGTCAATAAAGGAAGACAGATGAACTCAGAACACTCAAACACACTGCTGCTGCCTACATAAACTGTAGAATAGCTAAGGGCCATGATACTATGACTTGGCTATGGTTGGGGCTTGTGTGTAAAAGAGAAGGGAGGGGTAGAGGATGGTTTGGGATGGTCCCTTTCCTCACTTCCTCTCTGGACAGGAAGTATCTACTCCTTGGAGTGCATGTACAGCAGCAGGTCAGCCACACGGTTGCTGTAGCCATACTCATTATCATACCTGAGAGAAAGAAAAAGGGAAAAAACAGGTATCAAGTCAGTGAGGAAAATGTGCTTTCCTTCTCCCAATTCATCTGTATAAACTTATCAAACATTGGGGCTGGAAAAGACATGTGAGAGCTCACCAGGAAATGAGCTTGACAAAGTTGTCGTTGAGGGAGATTCCAGCGCCGGCGTCGAAGATGGAGGAGTGACTGTCACCAATGAAGTCAGATGACACCACCTGCAAAACAAAGCACAGAATACAAGTCACATATCAAAGGCTTAGGCCGGGAATCAGAGAGGGAATACTTCAGATTTGCGTATCTGCAGACTCCTGTTTTCTGGTCAAACATTGATGTTATAACATAGATCAAATACCTGGTCTTCAGTGTAGCCCAGCACTCCCTTCATGGGTCCATGCGCGGCCTTCTTGACGGCCTCCTTGATCTCAGAATAGGAAGCAGGCTTGGACAGACGGCATGTCAGGTCCACCACGGACACGTCAGCCACTGGCACCCTGAACGCCATTCCTGTCAGCTTACTAAAAAGACGGAGAGAAAAAACAGAGGAGAGATGTTGGACACCTTTTGCCTTCACAAGCCCCCGTATTAAAACTCCATTTTCTGTCCAAATTAGACACACGGCGTGCAGAACAAGGCTGGTGACAAACGCCTACCCGTTGAGCTCAGGGATGACTTTGCCCACAGCCTTGGCAGCACCAGTAGAAGCTGGAATGATGTTCTGGTGAGCCCCGCGGCCATCACGCCAGGCCTTGGCGCTGGGCCCGTCCACTGTCTTCTGGGTGGCCGTGTATGCGTGGACTGTAGTCTGCAGAGAGGAGGGGCCGACAGCGTGAGGCATCAATTCACTTTAGGGCCAGAATACATAAAGCAGCTAAATCATGATTTGGGTTCCGTGCAGACTGACTGGGACTTACCATGAGGGCCTCCTCAATGCCAAAGTTATCGTGAATGACTTTGGCCAGAGGAGCCAGGCAGTTGGTGGTGCAGGAGGCATTGCTGTGAATATACAGGGAGGGGTACTGTTACCAAACCGCCTCACTGCTCTGTGAAGAAACAAAGGGAGGGATGTTACCTGACGATGGTCATGGAGGAGGGGTCGTATTTGTCCTCGTTGACTCCCATGACAAACATGGGTGCGTCGGGTGAGGGGGCGGAGACAACCACGCGCTGTGCACCACCCTGGATGTGAGACTGTGTTTTGAAGAGAGCACAGGTCAGAACCCACACTATCTGACAGGGGGGGTGGTTTTTGCATCTGTACATGAGTGTGTACATACAGAGGCCTTTTCCACACTGAGGAACACTCCAGTGGACTCAACGACGTATTTGGCCCCAACGCTGCCCCAGGGGATCTCAGCTGGCTTCATACTAAAGTAAAAAATAAAAAAAGTTACTCAGAATGAATGAGCGCAGGCTACAGCTGAAGTGAGTTAATCACATAA